ATCTCGAGAATTGGGTACATCTTTCCACTCTTGTGCAGTGTTCTTGATTCTACGCAGGAATGCATCACGGTTATTATGCCAAGATATATTCCATGCGTATCGCGAGGTCTGCATCACCCAGCGGGTAGCGTCATTATAGGGCACCGAAGTGGCTTCTAGCTGAGCAAGACGACCCTGGTTAGCTAGTCTATCAGCAGCCTCATTCCCTGGTATAACTGCGTGCCCAGGTACCCATACAAAGGTTATGTTAGCGTACCGTTGCACCTCCAACAACCACGGGTGTCCAACCCGCCCATGCTCAAGGGCAGAAAGACAACTCGCAGAGTCAGAGAATACAACGGCCTGAGATCCGTTTGCTAGCCTGCAAGCTTGCAGGAGAGCATAGGCCTCAGCTGAGAAGATACCACAAAGACCGGATAATTGGCCGCAGCGGCTTATGGCCTCCCCAGACACTTCCTCGTCGATCAAAGAACCGTCCGTATATAGCATGGGCCTTCCCTCGTATGAGGTAGCAACCTCCCTGAATGCAGCTTTCGCCACACCAGAGCTGGCCCCTGCCCCGCACATAGTTTTAACCCTCCACTCAACTTTCGGGGCAGTATCATCCCATGCCCGTTGCCACAGCCTAACTCGCTGGGCTAACGTGGGAAAGTCCACTCCCCTCAAATCGCTCCACTATCCTCTCGCCCTAGCAACTGTGGGCCTGTCATTGAGGATGGGATCACTCTCTAATAACCTCAGCGCCTTAGCGGCCAGGTCTTCAGTGACAACATTCACCAAAGGTACCTTACCATTCTCTACCAATAGGGAAGCTATTGGTGAAGACCTCAGCGCAGGGAGACACCACCCCTGCTTCACAACTCCGCTCCGTAAAGGATGCCAGGGACAACCAGAGCCCTAGCACCCTGGTCAATGTACTACAAGAGGTTTCAGAAAAGCGACCATTTAGGGTCCGAAGGATATTCAACTTGTTGTTGACGTTATCCGTCACCAACTTGGGGTGCTTAACAAATCGGAGTTTGCTATCAATAGTCACACCAAGCAGTTTCATCTCACGCACGGCCTTGACAGCATGCTCACCGATACTAACAAATGGCAGACTCGGTCTGTGATGATGACCAAAGCAGACGTGCAACAGTTTGGACTTCTCGGGGGAAATCACAAACCCAACACTATTTGCCCAGTCAACGACAGACTGCACTGCATCCTGCATTTTATGCCTAACCACCCTACCGTAATTACCTAACACGGTGAGGGCTATATCATCGGCGCATACAAAAATGTATTCTTCCTTAAGAATGTGTTCAAACATTGAGTTCATCGCAATGAGAAACAGTGTAACCGAGATGACAGAACCATGCGGGATGCCATTCTCCAGCAAGATTGAGGAAGAGTTGCGCCAGCGTTCAAAACTCGGAACCTACGATTCTGTAGAACGTTTTCTACGTAGGTTAACATACTTCCTTGGAAGTCCCATTTCTTGAGGGAAGTCAAGATAGGAAGCTTCCATGTCATATCATATGCCTTGGACAAATCGGAGAAGAACGTCTCCGATCCATAGCCGCATCGAAATGCGTGTTGCTGTGGGTGGATCCGTCCTTGCCTCTTCAGCTCTCTTGACAGACGACGATTAACCATCCGCTTAACCATGCAGCTCAGCAGGGTTATCGGTCGATAACCATTCGTTTTGAGTTCTATCCTTCCCAGGTTTGAGAATAGGAATAACCAACCCTTCTTTCCACTCGTCCGGTATCTGGCCAGAAAGCAAGACCTCGTTCATTGTGTCAAGAAGAGCCAATCGGCCGACTAGAGGTAATCTCCTAAACAGGGCATAGCACTTTGCCCTCCCTAACAGCAGTCAGGCAAGGGGTCGATGCCAACCTCTTGGGTTAGCACTTTGCCCTCCCTAACAGCAGTCGCGCAAGACCGGCAGGTGGACTAGCACTAACCCCAGTACTCATGCACTGGGTAGTCCCCTTTTTACTGGTCTTCGCACCCTTAGCAGACGGAGCTGCATGTGTCCCTTTGCCCTGAGGGATAGATTTCACAGCTCCCTGCTTAGCCTTCTTCTTCTTCCTCCTCTGCTTACCTTTGGAAGGTAAAAAAGGCGTCTGCGGACTCTTAACTGAGTCCACAGGTGCAGTCCTAGCAACCTCTGCATACGAATTTCCACCCTTCTCCGCGCTATAAACCCTCTTGGCATCCCCAAAGGATACACCAAGGTTGGTCTTTAAACGCAGTATATCAGCCTCATACACGTAGATAGGGCACCTACGGTTAGTCGGTTGATGATTGCCTCGACAATTGGAGCAGAAGGCCTTTGCTCCACATTTCTCTGCAACCGGGTGGACCCCTGCACCTGGTCTTGTTCTTGCAACCCGCGTGACCATGCCCATACCCGTAGACGTTTGGCTGAAAAACGATTTTCTGCCAAGTTGTAGCTGATAAAAATTTCCATAAGAATAGCAATAGAATGTGTTAACAGTACAATATGTCAAAAGGCTAAAAGACAATGAACAAAAAGTTTTGTTTTCCCATAGTAATCTCCATATAAACTTCAAATGGTTTGTGCCAAGTCAGTTTCATATCAAATGAGTTTAAACTTTCGAAAGCTAATCAGGACCCGATTTGATACCGTTTGAACACTGTGGAGCGAAAATTTCAAATTTTGCATCAGTCTAGTGCCTCACCCCTGTAACACTGAACGGAAACACTTAAGACGGGAGGGTTCCATCTGCCAGCCGGATCACTCCTTTGCTTCAAACGTGGACGCTAGAAGTAGGTCCATACACTCTACCTACATATTGCATTCATCCTGCACTCTTAGAAATAACTAATTTTACACGTGACGGAATCCATCTTTGACATAAAAAATGAGACGTAAACAAACATGTCATGTAAAACTAAGTGCTCCGAGACTGAAAACTTCGTTACTCGACGAAAATTACGTTTGATTGAGTTGAATTGCGCGTCTGTTATGACTCAATTTTATGTCAAAATTGACGCTCGTATATGTCAGTCTCAGAGCACCTAAAATTACATGATTTTTTCTAAGTGTGTGAACAAACTTTAGCCATACTAAATCCACTATCTACAATTGTTGAAAGTCCGACTGCCGCCAGAAAAGCTGAGCACGGTAACCAGATGGGCCTAAGACGTGACTAGGACCCATCTTGCACACACTCAAAAGCTTCGGACTCCCCCGTTCTTGTTCGCGTTACTAGCTACAACGAATCATAGCCAGCAAAACCACCGAGCACCGCGTGGAGGTAAGAATCGGAGTTCAGATGCACAGAAAACACAAGTCGCCCATCGTCTGGCAGAGCCCGACAACCATTCACGAGCGCTCTTATGCCCTGCTTTGCCCGGCGATCATCTTGGTGGTGCTATGCATCTTGGTGTGGAAATGGCGCAGCAATGCAAACTGGCTGCGTCAGCAGGAATCAAAGGCTCAGCGACAAGGGTTCAACGTTCGAGACGCAACTCGACCCAGGCAACGACGTGGTGCCGTAATAGGACACCTCTCGTCAACATGTATTCTTAAGGTTCAATTTACTTTGATGCTTTTTCGAAAAATTGAAGAGCAGTTTTTTTTCGATGCATTAGTTCAGATTGCAAAATTCACGCACTATTCGATTCCTTTTGCTATTTAACACAAAATGACGCGAGCTTTTAGCAATCTGAAATAATGCATCGAAAAAAACTGCTTTTGAATTTTTCGAAAATGCATCAAAGTAAATTGAACCTTAAAAATTCAATGCAACAAAATAGGATAAACATCATTCTTAGTCTAACTTCATTGTTTAATCAATAAAGCCCATTTTTATGAAATGAGCGTACGAGAATTAATTTTCGGAGATGAACTAGCCGAGTGGCTAAAAATCTCCCTAATAAAGATTTAACAAATATTAGGAGAATTAACGAAAATATAAATAGACTATAAGAAGTGCCATATTTCCATAAGAAATATTTATTCATGATCCCATGTTTACATAGTTGTAGGCTTTGCACAAAGTTCTACTAGAAAGTGATTACTTATTGATTTGAAGTGTTTTTGTTGGGAAGAATGTGTAAATTATTTCTTTAATTTAAATCATTCTTAATGATATCAAACCCACTCTACGACAATCATCAGCTTCACTGATGATTGCGAGAAGGAATTCACTCTCACTCTCGCAGCATCCAGCAGATCGAAATTAATCTAAAGAGCAACCGATAGGCATGATACTGGCGATCAGTAACGATAAAATCAGTTTCAAATACAATGTGCTTCTGATCAGTTGTGTTCCCTTAAACCAGTGCTATTTCACCAGTGACTAGATCGAAGAAGAAACATAAATTTGGTCCTTCGAACCGGATGTTAGGTTAAACCGACGAAAAATCAAGGCAGTGTAACAGTGGTGAAATCCGCTATTTTCGGCCATTGGTGTCCAACGCGATCACCATCGCCATTGCCTCAACCTATTGTACGGTATTCTGCATGTGCTATTGTGCGACGGTGCTAGATCCAGTATTCACCGGCATTATTGTTCCCATTCTTCGAGTGCGACATTGTTCCAGTTGCAGAATTTCATCCACCGATTGGAATCGACGGAGAGCTGATTTGCATGATATCAGCTAATTGCATGAACTCCTAAAGAAGACCCAGCTAGCAGAAGAATTCAGATGAGTATTCCCGAAAGGTTTGTCTGTGGTGGCGTCTGAATGCATGATCAGTCGTCAACCGTTCTGAAATTGAATATAATTCCATGTGGCAAAACCGATGAAACAATAAACGATAGATTGCATGCTTTGCGTTTTTTCTATTGGAATACGTGGTTGATTCGTCTGCTGAGTTGAGTCCGCTTTGAGGTTGATTGGCCAATCCGTTCGATCGATATTATTTCATTTGTCTGTCTATCTGTGGGTCTCTGTCAATCGCAATTCCGATCATTACGCGCTTCGGTCCAAGCTGTGGAACTGTGAAATAAGTGCAGTGCAGAGATAATACTGTGAGAAGAATGGCTAGCAGCGATCTACGAAAGTGGGCGAAGAAGGAACGTATGTTACGATATGTAGTGGATTCGATTATAGAATTTGTGCAGAATTATGACGAAGCTCGTGACAAAGGTTCAGTGGAGGCACGGATGAAGAAACTTGAAGAAGTGTACGATAGTTTTAGTGAAGTGCGAATAAACATTGAACTGTTGATGGAAGAAGACGATGAAGAAGATCACACTGAAACGGATGAAAGTGAAGATGCCCGTAGCAAACGGATCGCCTTGCAGAAGAAGAATGATGAGAAAAACAGGAAGATAATGAAGGATTTCGTGAACCAGTATTTCAACCTGAAGCAATCACTGCAAGCCTTTATGTCGCCACCGGGGTCTAGTGCGAGTGTAGGTACAGCTCCAACGATGCAGCAAGCCCCAGTTGGTACAATTCGTGTGAAGTTACCTGAATTGAAGCTTCCTGTTTTCCGTGGTGCATTGATGGAATGGGTCACATTTCGAGATTCTTTTCAAAATCTGATCATGGAAAACCCACACCTTTCGGACATTGATAGGTTTACATACCTACGATCGTCATTAGCAGGTGAAGCCTTGCAACAGATTGCATCAATCGATCTTACTGCGGACAATTTCTCGATAGCGTGGAGCTCGCTGGAATCACGCTATGCGAACAAGAAGCTCTTGGTAAAGTCGCATTTGGATGCATTGTTCGCAGTACAGCCCATGAAGAAGGATACGTTTGAGTCACTTAACCATGTGATCAACGAATATGATAAAACCTTGCAAATGTTGGATAAATTAGGAGAACACACAGCTGATTGGAGCACAATGTTGGTTCATATGCTTTCAAGCAAGTTGGATGCCACAACGCTTCGTTTGTGGGAAACGGAGCATCGTTCAAAGGAAGTTCCACGGTTTGAGAACTTGATGGAATTCCTGAGAAATCATCGTACGGTTCTGCGGTCAATTGCCGGAGAAAATCCTAACCCACCAGAACAGAGGAAAGCACCTCGGGTAAGCAGCAGTTACGCCGGAATGCAGTCATCATGTCTATTGTGTGGTGAAGGACAACACATGGTGTTTCAGTGTAAACGGTTCAAGTCAATGAAGGTTGACGAAAGGAGAAATGCTGTAAGATCGAATCAACTTTGCTACAATTGCTTGTCTCGAGGACATGCTGCCAAGGTCTGCACACGGGGAACTTGTCGTATTTGTGGACAGCGACATCACTCTATGTTGCACTTCAAGACGAATGAATGGTCTAATAATCAGTCAGTTCCACAGTCAAACAAGCGTTGTCAACAGGGCCCACAGATCCCACAATTGATTCAGACACCCACAACCTCACAAGCTAATAATCATGCTCCTAACACTCCTCAGCAACCCAACCTCCCATCCACAATCTCCACACCAGCTATTCCAAATTCGCAAAGTCAGACACCACGTACCACAGACATTCCTACTAGCCACAATGTGGTACTCTCTGCTAATGAACCCAAGGCACCACGATCGGTCATACTCGCAACCGCAATCGTGATCCTTGAAGATCAATTTGGGAATACTATGCAAGCTAGAGCATTACTAGACAGTGGCTCTCAGCTTTGCTTCATTTCGGAACACACGTCACAACGTTTGAAGTTCAAACGGTCACGCGAAGCACTTTCTATTAGTGGTATTGGTCAAGCTGCAAAAAAGTGCAAGCAATCCATCTTCGCTCGGGTTCGCTCTCGTATCACTTCCTTCGCTGGGGAGGAAGTATTCTACGTACTTCCACAAGTTACGTTGAATTTGCCCATTCGCAAGATTGATTCATCAAGGTTGGATCTTCCGCCGATCCACTTTTCACCGAGCCTAGCAGCGTTGATGTGATTATTGGAGCAGGACTTTTCTTTGACCTGCTGCGCAACGAGAAAATCAAGCTCGGGGATAATGGACCTATTGTACAAAACACTTCCCTTGGCTGGATAGTTTGTGGAAATCTTCCTGACGAGTCGAACGTGCTCAGACCACACGTTGCCAACACGTGTACGGAGAACTTGGACGAGTTACTCACTCGTTTCTGGGAATTGGAGTCGTGTAAAACGGACAGCGTACTATCGTTAGAGGAATATGCCTGCGAGAAGCTGTTCGACCGTACTACAGTCCGAGAAGCATCTGGAAGGTTCATTGTAACGGTTCCAAAGAAGGATTACCTCATTCAGCAACTCGGAGATGCGTATGGGACATATGGAGGAAGTGCTGGAAAACGAAGAGGACGCTGCTATGCCACAGTACTTCATTCCACATCACTGTGTTATCAAGCCCGACAGCACAACTACCAAGTTGCGGGTAGTGTTTGATGCGTCATGCCCTACATCGTCCGGAATCTCTCTCAACAATGCGTTGATGGTTGGTCCGACTGTCCAAGATGATATCATCGCGATCGTCCTTCGATTCAGGTTCCATTGGATCGCCTACGTTGCAGATGCTGAAAAAATGTACCGTATGGTGCTGCAACAGTGGGCAGACCGGAAGTTGCACAAAATCTTCTGGCGGGACAACCAGAATGAAATGATCCGTGTCTTCCAGTTAAATACCGTTACATACGGAACAGCATCAGCGCCATATTTGGCCACCAAATGTCTTAAGCGGCTCGCAGAGCTTGATGGACACAAATATCCCAAAGCAGCTATAATCCTTAGCAAGGATTTCTACGTTGACGACATGATGTCCGGCGTTGACGACGTACAAGAAGGAATCAAGCTGTGCAGTGACATTCAACATCTGTTGAAAGGTGGAGGATTCAACCTACGGAAATGGAGCAGTAACTGTCCAGCTGTCTTGGAAAAAATACCCGAGGAACTCAGGGATGACCGCACTTCTTTTGAGCTGGACGATTCAAGCGCTACCATAAAAACACTAGGGCTGATCTGGGAACCTAGGCTAGACGTTTTTCGATTCAAGGTGCCACAATGGAGTTCGTCGGAAATATGCAAGCGTTCCGTTATTTCCGATCTTGCGCGGATTGGAGTTGTAATCATCACTGCCAAAATATTCGTCCAGACTCTCTGGAAACAGAAATTCTCGTGGGACGAACCACTACAAGATGAACTCGGAGCTCAATGGACAGAGTTTCGGGACAGCTTATCAAACCTAGAAACCCTCCAGATTCCTAGATGGATCGCTTTTCGCAAGGATTGTCTTGCCGTTGAGCTCCACGGCTTTTGTGACGGATCAATGAAGGCCTATGGAGCATGTTTGTATGTCCGATGCACACACTTCGACGGAACAATCACTTCGAATTTGCTGGTTGCTAAATCCAGAGTAGCTCCGCTGGCAGAATCTGAAAAGAAGAGGAAAAAACTTACGACGCCCCGCTTGGAGTTATCTTCTGCTGTATTGCTGGCTCACCTGTACGAAAAGACATCTGCAAGCATCCAAGTATCGACCCAGCCGTACTTTCACACCGATTCCACGATCGTAAGGTACTGGCTGTCATCAACCCCATCACGTTACCAGATGTTCGTGGCAAACAGAATATCGGAGGTACAACACCTCACCAGGAGTGGAACATGGAGGCATGTGGCAGGAACAGAGAATCCCGCAGATGCACTATCTCGTGGCATTTCACCTGTTGATTTACAGGCTAACGCGTTATGGTGGCATGGACCACATTGGTTGAGGAAAGATAAACAGATGTGGCCTGAAACGCAAGAAGTTGTACTGGATAAACTGGATTGGACGACTCTCGAGGAAGGATCCATTGTGGCAGCAGTTTCTACAATTACTCCACCGAGCGAGATCTTTGGGATACACTCTACATTGCATCATGTGGAAAAGCTGGTTGCATGGTTGCTCAGATTCAAGTACAACGCACTGCAGGCTCGTAGATCACTATCCAAGAAGACGGGTCCACTGACGCTTGCGGAACGAGAAGGCGCTTTGTTGCATCTAGTGAAGCTATCACAACAGGAATGCTTTGCTCAGGAAATCGCAGATCTCGAAAGGAATGGGGAGGTTAAGCCAACTTCTCGCATCAATGCATTAAATCCGATGCTGGTCGAAGGTGTACTCCGAGTTGGCGGCCGGTTGGAGAATGCACAAATCTCGCATAGCCGGAAGCATCCTATGTTATTGGATAAAGATCATCCGCTAACATCCATGATCATGCGTCGATACCACTACGAAAATCTTCACGCTGGTCCTCAACTGTTGATAGCAAGTGTTCGTGAACGGTTTTGGCCACTCAGTGCTCGAAGTCTTGCTCGGAAGATTGTGCATAGATGTGTAACCTGCTTCAGGAACAAACCAACCGTGCAGGATCAACTGATGGCTGATCTCCCGGCTGAACGGGTAACACCAGCTCCGCCATTTCTACGGGTCGGTGTAGACTATTGCGGTCCTTTTTTGATAAACTATCCCTTCCGGAAAAGGACCACCGTCAAGTACTACGCTGCTATCTTCGTTTGCTTGGTGACTAAGGCGGTACACATGGAAATGGTAGCCGATCTCACCACTCAAGGATTTTTGGCTGCATTGAAAAGGTTCGTGGCTAGGCGAGGAAAGCCCACCTTGATCATGTGCGATAACGGTTCCAATTTCGTGGGTGCAAAACGGGAGTTAAATGAGCTCGCCGTACTATTTGAAGACCAACAATCTCAGCAATCCATAGCTGCACGCGCTGCTGACATCGGAATTGAATTTAAGTTCATTCCAGCCAAATCCCCAAACTTTGGCGGTTTGTGGGAGGCTGCAGTTAAATCAATGAAGCAGCACCTGAGGAGAACCATTGGATTGAAGATTGTTACGCCTGATGAACTACACACTGTCCTAGCACAAATCGAAGCATGTCTGAACTCCAGGCCACTCACACAGATCAGCAGTGACCCAAACGATCTCAGCGTGTTGACTCCAGGTCATTTTCTTATCCAGCGACCGCTAACGGCTGTCGCAGAACCGTGGCTGCAGGATATTCCTCAAGATCGTCTCTCTAGGTAGCAGCAGGCTCAAGACTTTGTTCAACGCATTTGGTCCAGATGGTCGATGCAATATTTGTCTGACCTGCACAACAGGACTAAGTGGACCAGGCACAGGAATAACCTGTTTGTAGGGACAATGGTTCTTTTCAAGGAGGATAATCTACCACCCCTGAAGTGGCTTTTGGGAAGGGTAACGCATATCTACCCGGGAGCAGACGGAAACATCAGGGTCGTAGCCATTAAAACGAAGGATGGAAGTTTCGTTCGGGCAATCTCCAAAATCTGCATATTGCCCATCAGCGATAACGACCCACCACCAACACTTGGGGAGAACTAGACCTTCCCTCATCAAAGGCGCTGGAGTGCCTGCGGGAGCCATCCGGCTCCCGCATACCAGTTAAGTGTTTATGTTTTACAAAATTTCAAAAATCTTATGGAATGTTTTGTCTTCATAGCCGCTGATCGCCGAAGGCCACTGGCTTTCTTGCGAAATCATCCACGAAATCTGCGTCTTGCTAGGCAACGTCAACCGCTCACCTCGATTACTCAGATACACTTGCTGAATTCCAATACCCGGTTCGATTCCTTGATTGTGGCCAAATCATGGAATCCGGCACGATTTCGTGCCTGTGTACGTTCATCATCAACGGTACAGCAAGCCACCTGCAGCAATCCAGGGTAAGAGCCACTGCACGAGCATCCAGTAAAGACCAGCCACCACAATCTACCATCCATGAAGTTCACCCAGCATTCGAGTTAAGAATCACTACAACAGTTAGCTCCAAGGAACTTGCAACTATCCAATCGGACACATTCAACCTGGTGAATTCATCATCATCAGCGCAGGAGCGCTCGCGGAGGCGCGCAAGCCTCCGCGATAGGGAAGTCGTTTAAATCTTGATTTTGACTTGTAAAAAATCGCCCTTCATCTTTTTCAGTCGCTCACCTCAATCACGGCGCTCTGACGGAGTGCGCAGCCGAAGGAGAATCCGCGTTAGAGGTCCGCTACAAACGATCTACGAGATGATGTCGGTATGAAGCCAGCCGGTACGAGTCAGATGCTAATCGATTGACGACTTCAATCAACACCGAGTGGTTGGACACCATCGGTACCGCCTGCAGAAGTGTTCCGTACACACCATATCACCGATTATATCCAGAGCACCAGCCCCGTTTTTATGTACACTTGTGATAATCATTGTGTTTCTAAATGTTTATTAATGATTCGTAGTTAAAATCAAGTTAATATTAGATAATTTAGATAGTCAAATTGAAATTCCGCATATTTCAAGGCGGCCGGTTATGTAAATTATTTCTTTAATTTAAATCATTCTTAATGATATCAAACCCACTCTACGACAATCATCAGCTTCACTGATGATTGCGAGAAGGAATTCACTCTCACTCTCGCAGCATCCAGCAGATCGAAATTAATCTAAAGAGCAACCGATAGGCATGATACTGGCGATCAGTAACGATAAAATCAGTTTCAAATACAATGTGCTTCTGATCAGTTGTGTTCCCTTAAACCAGTGCTATTTCACCAGTGACTAGATCGAAGAAGAAACAGAATGATCGAATCGCAGTTTTTCCCTCATCTCCGCTTTATTCGACCACGTACTGAAGGAGGTTGATTCAGGAGCAACTGTAAACAAGAACCATCATTCGCCGGAATTTCTGAATGAACCCCATAGAGCATTATGAAAACGTGCAAGGTGCAATGACAACAAACATCTCTTATTGCTCCATTGCAGTCTCTGTTACAACGTTCAATGTTTGATAAATTTAAATAAATTATTTATTCATTGACATTCCTTCCGATACCATCAATAACCATCACAGCATGACCAATATCTATAGCATACAAAACCGTTAGTCTATCGGAGAACTAGATACAGGAACAACATCGTCGGTATTATACCATCTTCACACCGGGGAATCCTATCATTTCACCAAGTAGATAATTGCAGCAACCCACTTCACCATGTTCTACATGTTCCATCTACTGCACCCGATTACGAATGTTCAACATGCCTCCAGGATAATTTTCACACTTTCCGCACTCCGGAGATGGTCCAGATTAATTCCAACGGCAAACAGAAAGCCATAACGATCGATAAAGCAACCAACCTTACACTCTATCGAAGAGAATCATCAGTAATGTAATGGTTCGACATCCGGCACGATATCTTGAGATCTAGAATTGTAATCCATGAGAATGGCTGCAATCGTCTTTCTCAGTGCAGCATCGAGCATCTGTGGTAGGATGTTTTCTCAAGTATCGGATCGCTTCTCAGGGGAAATCTTACCGTGTAGCAAGTGGCGGAAAGAGGTGTTACTTCGTGATTGGGAGGGTCAATGGGAAATTATTGGAATGGGTCAACAGTTAGCTGTTGCAAATCTAGTTCTCGATTCGAATTGAGCTCATATTTTAAGAAATTTTCCTTTGAATAACTCTGAATAAATTCTTACAAGCTCTAAAGCCGCTCTCATCCTATAAGTGCCAAATGATCCAGTCCCATGTGATTAATTATCTTCCACAGCTCCCAGCAGAAAATAAAACGTTACTTCACCATCAGCACTCTGTTTCCTCCCGAGAAGAAGGAAAGTTTATTAGCAAGGAGATAATTTCGTCCTCGTCGAAAAACCATACCATATTTAATTGCGGCAAAGCGGAAATGCTCAGTGTGCCACTGAGATCGAGAGGAAGGTAGACGAAGCAGCCGCAGCAGCATCAGCAACGACTACAAGTGAACATGCCGTGACAGAAAAATCTGCTCCGTTTAATGGTGGATAAACTTTTTTGAAACATAATTAATTTTTTAAAGTGATTTGTCTGGGAAGTTTTCTTTTCCTGATTCTGACAAGCTTTTTTTCTTGTCACGGTGCCACGTCACCGTTGTCGTCGGAAAAAACCCCTTACTCTGCTACAGACAGTTGTGTGTACATAAACTCCCGCAGCGACAATCATGTAGTTGGGAAAATTAAGATCATTGATGAATGGGGCCTTCTTTAGCTCAGTCGGTAATGGCGCAGCTACAAAGCGAGACCATGCTGGAGGAGGCTGGGATCGATTCGTGGTCCAGTCTAGGAATATTTCGGGTTGGAAAATTTCTCGACTTCTCTGGGCATAGAGTATGATTATGCAAAAATGGTACAGGCATCGAAAACTCTCAATTAATAACTATGGAAGTGCATCTAAAACACTCTAAGCTGAGAGCACACAGTAAGCTAATAACCGATAAAGCAATAAGCTTGAAATGCGAGAAAGAAGAAGAAGGATGAATTGTGGATTATACAAAGCAGCTTATATGAACAGTGTTTCAAAAAGTGTTTGCATCCTACTGACCCAAATAACATTACAATTAGACAAACACTAACTGCAATGATCATTCCCACTTCGCAGAACGAAGTTCCCTTCTTAGCATTTCCATAATGATATCATAAAATATGTATTCCCAACTCGCGCAATCACCTTGAATGGAGATTGCTACGAACCTCCAGGGTGGAACAAGCAACCAAGCGAACCACTTCGTACACACTTACAGTGGTATTCAAACTCCCTCCTCCCGGCACCGTCGATTGGACAGACAAACTGTGGCAACTTTGCGCTTGATGAATATTCAGTAAGTTTTCCATTTCGTTACCAAAGAAACCTCCCCCTCCATCCGCCGACCAACCATCATCGGGGGGTGCACCGTGGATTTAATTTATGCTCTGTTCTCTACTCCTTCCAGCAAACTACCTAACGAAGCGGCAGCAGGACAATCGCTTCAAAGAAATATTGTTACACTTTGGGAGAGAAGTTGAGTCTTTGCTCGGGTCTTATCGTCATTCTTTGTAGAAGTCATTTTAATCCTGCTGGTACTAATCTTACATGAAGACGTAAGGACGGAGATGAGGTCCATTCGGAATTTGCAGCTTTTCCAAACCGAAATGGAACGACCTGCAGAGCTGGGAATGTTTGCTCTAACAATTAGCATATAAATCCAATAAAAGATTACACCGAATGACATTCATTGTCCGTTGGCTTTGTCATAATCCATGTGCCAGAAGTCTCCGTTCGACTGTTAAATCGTAAAGTTAATCAAAGGACTCAACTTTGCCGCTGCGTGTCAAGGGGGTGTACTTGGCCTAAGTACCGAGCAGCACGGTAGTATGTCACATATTGGGCATGTTTGAGCATATGTCAATAAAGAATTTTCGACAAACGTCATCCGAGGATCTGAAATGCATTTAGATTCGATGGTAAAAAGCGACAGCAGAAATGTTTTCAATTATTCGTTACAATCGAACGCTGTCATTTGAGTTCCACTGCACTCCTTCGCCGGGATATAAATAACACATTGAGTCATGCCGGACGGCGAACATCGAATTGTACTTTAGCGCTGGCAGTTTCTCGATCCGAGGCGAACATTTTTGCTTTCTGATGTGACGTGCAGCTCATTTACATTCATAAATAGTTAATGCAATGCTGTTCCTGCTTCTGTGAACTGGTTCTGCTTCGATATTAACATCGATTTTGGTTCACTCATGTAATGCAGTGCCGTGAAAAAAAGTAAGAGGTATCCAAGACACGACCATAGATTTGTCGTAGGGGAAGGAGGGGCATAGTGAGCTTCCTGTGATTTAACCTTAGATTTATTATGGTTCGACACCAGGCTTGCTTCCACTCACTTGCTATAAAAAAAAATGATTTTCTGAATTTTGAAATCATTAGATGTTATAATGATATTTTGTACTTGTTAGATACAAGAAGAGGTTGGAAGGCAAGTGTTTGACACATAAAACCTGTCAAATTCGCTATCAGAAAGTCACAATCAGCGATTATACTACTCGTGAGCGCTCGCTCTGAGTGAACGCTTACGAATCATAAAATTGCTGATTGTAACACTCTGGAAGCGGAGATTTTGAAGATCTCCAACGACCCAACAATTCAAATCACATATCCTAGTTATTCTCTCAAATACCAAATTTCTCAGCAATTATTCCAATGATCATAGATTTTCAAAAATTCCA